ATCAAGTATTAATTAAATTTTGTCAAATATTATTATAAATGTAATTTTTTTATTGAAAATATACAATTTGATTTTACTGAAGTATATAATGCTAAATGATTTTGTCAATTTTATAGTTAAATAATAAAATTTATTCCAAATGCTATAATTTTTATTACAGAATGTTATAACTTTATTGCTAAATATTTTTTATCTAGAAATATTTTTTTGCCAAATAATTTTATTGCCAAATGGTATATTTTTTTTTTGCCAAATTATTGTGTATTTTTAAGTGCCAAATAGCATAAATTGAAATTAATTTTAATATAAAATACTATATATACAACATATAATTTTAAATATAAAAATTTTTAAAAATTTTATTACTTGTTTTATAATATGTAGATTTTATATATTTATTTGTCATCATAAAAGAACTTTATTTAAAACTATAGTTAATAAAACTTATAAATTTAAAGATTATTTATTATCATAATATTATATTGTATTGATAATTTAAACCTTATATTTGCATTTAATAAATATAAATACTTGTTGAAAAATTTTTTATCTATGATTTGTGTATTTATGCATTCAATGTAAATAACATTACAATTGCTTCGATTAAGAACAAATGTAAAATGATTCCAATTACCTAAATATAGAATAATTAAGTTGTGAAATTTCAATTAACTATTCTATCTAAAAGAAATCAACTAATTGATTATGATGTTATAATAAAACGTGATGAAAAAAATTAATGGATGTTAAATGATAGATGCATTTACATATACATCTTTTCTTACCCCGAAAACCCAATTATTTACAAGAAAAGTCATGTTGATCTAACCAATACCAAAAGACATATTCCCGCCGTACTCTGATGCCTCCTTGATAAGTAGATTTGTATGCTCAATTTTCAAGTCTATACCAGTATCGATAACCTAATAATAAATCCTGTCGACTATCCCAAAAAAATTTTTCGCTTTTGATTTCGCATAAACCAATCCTTTACCATCATTCTTGCAATTCAAATACACAACAGAGCCAAAACTTCCAATCCACATATGTAACGTTCGTCCGCCATTATATTTTGCAGGACTCACTGACCTCCAGATTTCACCATTCTCATATGAAAAATTATAAGAGTTCAAGTGATCAAATATTTTGAACGTAGGGATGTGACCGACCACTTCTAGTGAGGATTTTCTGTCGAATCCAATATGAATAACTTGAGACTTGCCATCATAGATCAACTTTTTAGCAACACAGTTAAAGGATTTCCTTCCGCCATTAGAAAAATTGATCTTAAAATTAAAAAAATACACAATGTCAATGGCACTTATCAAATTACCAGTATCGATAATTTTTTAGTTAAATGTAAAATTAAAAAATAAACAAATAAATACATGAAAAGACCATTCTCTTTGATCGTCTTTTGCAAGTTCTTCATTTATAACTATCTCTGCTAATTTGTTGAATTGTTGACTTGTTCTCCGAACTTTACATACTTGTTTGAATCTAATTATGTTTTTTTAAAACAAAAACAAAGTGTGTAAAAATAAAATATTCAAACTTCAATGAACGAAATACAATAAATTACCCGAAATGTCTTAATAACCATTTGAGGATATAAAGGATAATTTCATTTGGCAGGTTAAAAGTCATTCCTTGGAAGAATTTTTAGTGAAAAAAGTAATAGTAATTAACTTTCTGCCATTATCGGATCCTAAATTTAAATTCTCCATCCAATCATATTAATACTTTTAGATCATAAAAGTAATTTGTTTTATTAAGTTAATTTTTGACGCGTCATATGACTTATGTTACAATATTGTGATATAAGGGAAATTGCGTCAACTACTTTCTCGACGCCTAACGGTAATGTATAGCGAGGACAGAGTTGAATCCGAAGTTCTTGGTAACGAAGATACAAACGGTGCAGAGGAAGCTGTAGAGGAGAAAGAAAATGTTTCTTCAGAAGAAGAAACTGACGAAAATAGTACGGAATCAGAGGAATCATCGGAAGAGGATGAATCCATAGAAGAAGAAGAACCAAAGTTAAAATATAAACGTTTGGAAGCTGATGTTGGGGAGTTATTAAAAAATGATGCCGCAAGCGCAATGGCAGTTTCCGATAAATATGTGGTAGGTTTAGTTGTAGTTTGTTCAGGAAAATTCAAACGTGTTTGATATGTTTTGAATTTTTTTCGCAAGGCTTTAGGGACACATAACGGAGAAGTTTTTATCCTAGATTTTGACGGAAACCTGATCAAGAAGTTTTCATCGCACACAGCCACTGTTAATGATATATCAATTGACGTTGCTGAAGAATACGTTGCCAGTGCATCAATGGATGGTAGTTTTCTATTATTAAGACTTTTTTCAAAACGATCTGTAGATTAAATAAATAATATATATCTTTTCATTAGGTAAAATTGTTATCCATGGGATGTACGTTGACTCTGAGCAAGTATTTAACTATCGACGTCCTCTTAAATGTGTGGCACTCGATCCTGACTTTAGTAGAAAAGATACTCAGCAATTTGTGTCGGGTGGTTTAGCTGGTCAATTGATATTAAATGAAAAAGGTTTCGTATATTACTATAATTACTTAATATACGCTTAGCTATTCGATTATGATCTTAATTGCATGATCTTCTTTAGGATGGTTTGGTCACAAACAAGATCGAGTGCTGCAACATTCTGGTGAAGGTCCAATTTATGCTGTTCGATGGAGAGGAAATCTTATTGCTTACGCAAACGACGAAGTGAGAAATTATATTTCATTATCTGAGCCTTAGTTATTTATTCGATTGTTAAGATATTATGAATTTAGGGAGTGAAAATGTATGATAATCAATCACAACAAAGGATTACATATATAAAGAGACCTCCTGGTAGTCCTCGAGCAGATTTATATCGATGCAATCTTTGTTGGCGTAGCGATACTCAACTGTTGATAGGGTGGGCGAATTATGTTCAATTTGCAATTGTTAAGGTAAATTTTATTAAAAGATTTATTATTATTTTATTTACTTTCTCTGAAACTCTCTACCCATAGCCTTTTTCTTTTTTTTATAGGAGCAAAATGTTTCTGGTCGACCACCGCTTTACGCTGAAGTTTCTATGTTGGTGTTTTATTATTTTTAATTTTTTTTTGAAAAATTTGGTTTATTATTTATTTACTGTAATACATTTTGTGATTTTAGGATACAAACAGATTTTATCGTATGTGGGATTGCTCCTTTTAACGTAATGACATTACTATTAGCATATATTACCGACGATATTGTAAAAAACGAGGACTCGAATGATCCCGAACAGTATAAACGACCAGTACGTACAATTATCTTATTGATGTGTTGTTTTTGTATCAACTTATAATAAATCTCGTAATACTTCTAGCGCGCTAAACAACCCGAATTACAAATAATCAATTCATCTAATGAAGTAATCTCGACGGATGCATTACCGTTACATGGATATCTTCATTACCAAGCAAATGATTATATACTTGATTACTTCCCATCTGAAGATATGTTTTACGTGGTCAGTCCCAAAGATCTTGTTTTGTCAAAACCACGTGACTTGGATGATCATATTGGTTGGTTGTTGGAGCGTTCACGATATGAAGAGGCATTAAACTCTCTTCGTGAAGCTCAAGCATGGGGTGGAAGCAAGACTTATGATATGACAGAAGTAGGAGGGAAATATATAGCATACTTGGTAGAAAATGGTCTGTTTTTTGTCTCCTGTTTTACAGAAGTGCATTTGCTCTTTACTAAAAAAAAAATTAAATTAAAAATTAATATGTATATTTTTAATAGAGGAATATGCTGAAGCAGCAGAAAAATGTCCCGGAATTTTAAAGAATAGCAAAGAATTATGGGAGCAATGGGTCTTTGTATTTGCTAAATTTAGGAGGCTACAGGTAAGGAACAAAAATAATTCGATACTTAGTTTTTTTGATGAAACATAAATGACTTTAATTTATTCTATTTTATTTAGGAAATTACACCATACATACCTTTTAAAGACCCACAGCTAAGTAGCACTGTCTATGAAATGGTCTTGGCTCATTTTTTGAATTATGATCACCAGGTAAAATATTAGATTTTTACCCGAACAAAGATAACTTGATTTCTAAAGCTTTTCTTAAAAAATAATAGGCGTTGTGTAAAACTATAATGGCATGGCCACCAACGATTTACAAGATTTCAAGTGTAACAGAGTTAGTAGAAGATACTCTAGAAAAAGAACCTGATAACAAAATTCTAATGGAATGTCTTGCTGAATTGTAAGTTTATTTGATAGATTTTTAAATTTTTTAATATACTAAATTCTTTAATTTTACAGATATGCATATAACCATGAGCCTGACAAGGCTCTTGAATATAACCTTCGTCTTCGAAGGCCAAATGTCTTTGATTTGATAAGAGAATACAATTTGTTTTCTGCTGTGCAAGACAAAGTTGTTCTTTTAATGGATTTTGATCAACATTTAATGTCAGAAGCTGAAAAAGAAGATGAGAATAAAGAGCAAGGTCCGACGAAAAAAAAAGAGCCTACAAAAATTCCAAAAATAAGGAAAGCCACAGAAATGCCAGCAGTACAGTTATTGATAGAAAATACCGAATCAGTACCGGTATGTATTAACAAATTCCGAGTAATTATTTATAATCACAACTAATCTATTTGCGATATCATTCAGATCGCTCATGTTGTACGCCAACTGAGACCTCATCCTATGTATCTGCATATTTATTTGGATGCTTTGTTCATTCGAGATATCCACATCGGCTATGAATTTCACAATGATCAAGTATATATGCATTGGTGTTATTTAGCTTTGTACCTTTAATGTAATTAATCTTTAAATTTTGATTTGTGATTTCTAGGTAGAATTGTATGCTGAATACGATTATCCCAGGTTGATGAAGTTCCTTGAAACAAGTCATTATTACTATGACCCAGAAAAAGTAATTTTCCGGCATCATTTTATTATATCAGCTTTTTAGGAGTAGGAGCCATTTAACATAATCTTTTATTTGATAGGCATATAAGATTTGCAAGCAAAGAGAACTTGTTCCAGAAATGGTATTTCTTCTTGGACTTATGGGACATAAAAAGGAGGCACTGATGTTGATTATAAAGCGATTAGGAGACGTTCAATATGTAAGAATGTTTTATTTCCTATTTGAGACTTGATTTCTACATTTATTCCTGGTACTTATAATTCTTTTTATGATTTAGGCTATTGATTTTGTTAAGAACCAACATGATGCTGTTTTGTGGGAAGATTTGTTAGAATACTCACTGGATAAACCACGTATGCAGAATTCTTATTCTTTATTTGGTATATCTTTCTTATTGTTATTTAATAATATTTTTTTTTTTTAGTATTCATTACTGGTCTTTTGGAAAATCTCGGAGGAATTGATATAGATCCTATTCAATTAATTCAACGAATACCCGATGGTCTTAAAATTCCCGGACTAAAGCAGTCATTGATAAAAGTGCTTCATGATTTCAATTTACAGGTTAGTATTTTTCGAAACACCAAGTTCTTTTATCCGATATAAATACCGAATATTCTATTCGCAAATCAGGCATCTCTGAGAGAAGGATGCCGGACTATACTAGTTAGAGACAGTTCGGCAATGGCTGGGCAACTTTTTAGTGCACAAAAGCGGGGAATCTCCTCTGGAGGTATTTAAAATTTTATTTTATATGAATTATTTAAGTTACCGATCATTAAATATGTGACTAGCGTATTCGTTTATAATCAGATGATATGGTGTGTTCATCCTGCTCAAGCTCTTTAATCAATGATGGTAATTGTGCGAATTGTTACTATATTTTTTTTTCGCGATATGTTAGTATTAATTTAAGTTTTTTAGGGAATTCGATCGAAACTAGTGAAACATATGTCATTTTCTTTTGTCGGCATGCATTTCATGAGGGATGTCTACTTGATGCTGACACGGTAGCATCACTTAGTAAACCATTTTCTACGCGTGGAGTGGGTCCTAAAGTTCGTCACACCGCTGTTCTTCGGGAATTGGAACCAAGGCCACAGTGTCCAATTTGTAATGAACAGCAACATAATCACACTTCTAAACCTGCGCCTAAGAAAATTGTTGGTAACCCTGCTCGGTCTAATCGTGCTTTTATTAGAGGTAACCGTCCGAATAAGGAGGATGATGGAATGCCTCCAATGGTCCAATTGAGGCTCAGTGGGTGATTCCCTTTTTCATTGTTATTTTGTGATTTTGTAAACTGTTATTGTTGTATACTATAAAATATTTTTTTTCTATTTAATGGTTATCTGATATTTTGTTGAGTAAATTACAAAAAAATTAAGACAAATTACTCACTTTTGATACCTGCAAAAAATTTGTATATTTAAACTTTTTACATTATACTTAGATTATAATGAATAATTAGCATTTTCAAAACATTAAATTTTACAGTATATCAAACATGACCATTTAATAAAATCAAAATATTTTTTGGAAAAATGTATTTCTTTATAAATTTTTCTTAAGATTTTTCTAATTTTTTGTTTTTTATCAATATATAAATTTTATTAAATAATTGTATTATTTTTTAAAAAGATTTTTCTTAATCTTAAAAATTATATTTTATATCAAAATTGTTTATATTGCTAATTTAAGTCATTAGCAGTATTGCAATATCTATAAGGATGGGTTCCTAAATTATTTAGCATATAAAATTTCCCAGATCAATTATGTTTCTTTTGAAGGAACATAATTCAAAAATTACTTGAATCAAATAGTCTAAATTGTAAAAAACCTTAATAGATAGTTTTATTTTGATTTTATATTTAAAAAAATTTTTTTTAATAGTAAAAAACATTTGAATTATGTTCTTACCTTTAATTTAAGGACCTATCTTTAAACATTTATTTCTTAATACTATTTAATATATCTTATTGTATTATAAAACTCAAAAAATTCTTTATTAAAAAACTATAATTAATTTACTTTTGTTAATTAATTATTATCTCAAACTCAATCAATCAAATTTCTTAGTTAATTAAAATACATTAGTTATATTTATTAAAAATTAATATAAATAATATTAAAAGAGAAAAATCCATAAATCTATAAATCTTCTTATTTAATTATATGTTTTTTTATTTATTAAAAAAATTAAAACAAACATATTATATTAAAAATTATAATAATAAAGCATTATTATTAAACAATAATTAATATATTTAATTTGTTCTCAAAAAAATATGTTATTATTAAAAAAAAAAACTCTTTCCTATACACAATTTTTTTTCTAAAAATTTTTCTTTTATAATAATTTTTTTTCAAATTAAAAAAACAAATATTTTAATATCCAAAAGTCCTTTAAATCTTCTCTTTCTTCACTACAATAACTCTAAAGAAATTAAAGAAGTATACTGATATATTGGAATGGAACATCTGACCAGGGAAAATCAAGTTTGAGAGTCTTACTTATTCTTTGAATTATATAAGGAAAGGCCTGTGACAGTTACTTTTTTATAAATATTCCTTGGAATTCTTTCATATTATTCTTCTTTTTAATATACAAATCTTTTTAAATAATTATTTTTCTTGCTTGAAGAACTTCTTTTTAACCAAAAAAATCAAACTTCATATCAAAATTATTTATATTGCTGACTTGGAGCACCAACAATATATTCAATACTTATTCTTTACTATTACTCAGTATATCCTACTGTATCATCAAAAACCAAAAATTTTCACTCAAAAAAATTCCTATCAAAAAACTATAATTAGTTTACTCCTGTCTACTGATCTATATTCCAAATCTAACCAATCAAATACTACCAAATCTTAAAACAATTCTGTATAACCAAAACATCACATAACAATTAATATAAACAAATCTTATTTTGGCAGTATTAATCAAAACAAAATCACATCACCAAAAAATAAATCAATCAATATATTAACAAAAACATTAACAATTACAACAACACCATATGATTTAAATAACATATCAACAATACTATTATTTACTTTGGACAGTAGCCTGGACATTTTTGGAAGTAGCATTCTATTTCAGTTAAATGGATTAATCAGCATAGCACGTCTAATCCAAGGCATCCTTTGTATAATAATTAGTTTTTTTTTCAAATATTTAAACATAAACAACTATACCATCACTACTATTAACAATGACTTAAGAAATGGCTGTCAAGAAAATGTGTCATCAACACTGTTATATACTATAATCTATAGCCTGGCCATTCTGAAAAGTGCAATAATACTTCAGAGGGTGGAACTACCAGAACAACATTAGGCTTTATTTGTATTATAATTAGTTTTTTGTCATTTTTCTTTTGTCTAGTATTTACTTTTTTCACTTTTATATTTTCTAAAATTTTATTTCATATAATCCTAAGTAGATATTCATAGCTGCTTAGCACTATCTTAGATATATATTGGTTTTAATATTTATTTTTCATATCACTTAGATGGTTTCTGTAGACAAGCTAGTATTAGACTTATTGGTTTAACAAATTATATAAGAAATTTTGTCGCTTTCTCCATGTATAAATTTTAAACAATTTTATGATTAATAAAGTGATAATGTTTATCTATTTTAAAAAAAATAAATATGTCATTATTAAAACTTTCTTCTGATCATGTTTGTTTTGTTAAAAATTTTTTCTTATATAATAATTTTAAGCAAGAAAAAATGGTTTACTTTCTTTATTGCAAGTAAGCCTCAACTCAGAAACTTAAGAACCTTTAAGACAACTGATGCAGTAAGATGGAACCTCTGGTTGAAGTTTACTCAAGTTTGAAAGTCTTGCTTATTCTTCAGTTATATGAGAAAAGGCCCATGGCAGTTCTCTTTTCTTTAGTTCTCTTGCATTTCTCTTTACTCTTATTCTATTATAAAAATCATCTACATTATCATCATTATACTTGCTAAATCAAATACTTTCCAAAATACATACTTAAACAGAGTTAATGAGTCTACTGTTTGTTTTAAGTCAATTCTCATACATAATATTTTCATAGTAATATTTGCTGTGCCACCTTTAATCTTCAAAAAATTCTCACTCAAAAAACTGAAATCAGTTTATTCTCTTCAGATAATTAGTGCTCTTCAATAATCTAATCAAATTTCATCTAATGATCAAAGCAAAAACTAAACAAGTTCAAACTGGTTTTGTATCACAATAACGATTACAACAACAATAACAACTAACTCACTATCAACAATTATAACAAATAACGTCACGCATACTTTATTATCTATAATACACAAAAGAACAAAGAGTTGAAATCACAAGCCTATCAGGGAGTTCTTTCGTTCAATGCATAGATCTTATAATATATTTGATTTAGTTTTAGTTATAGTCACTTTTATTTTTATTTTTAATTTTTTATATCTAAAAAATCAAAAGAATTCATAAAATTTCCTGAAATGGTAGGTATAGCTACTACTTAGCCTTATCTAGCACATTAATATTGATTTTGAATTTTTTTTATAATATTAGTTAGATATTGATAAATAGATAAGCTAGCATTTAACTTTTCTGAAATAATGAAAAAGATATTGTTTTTTTTAACAATGTATACCTTGTTATATATAAATCAAAATAAAGAAATGATGTTTATCTACTAGGGAAACCCTCCAAAAAAAAAATATTATTATTATTATTATTTTGCTTTAAACAATAACTTGATTATTCTAAAAAGTATTATATTACTTAAATAAATAAAACTATTGATATACACATCTCTATGGTAAATTATTGGGATTTTTACATGAGTTGACGAACAATTGGTTTTTTTTTTTTTAATTTTATTTAACTTTTATTAATTTATGTACAGTTAGCAAAAAAATAAAATAAACTAGAATGATTATAATTTATTTTCATGTGATTCAAAACATAATATATTAATATTTTGTATTTTTACCCTTAGCCTTAATAATTGCTTTGATATTTTAAGACAAGCTTAAAATTATATGCTGTACCATTTCAATGCTTATTTTTTCTTATTCCTCTTGTATAATACGAATAAATTCTTGTCTAGATATAGGTAAAGGTTTTCTTTTTCGGATCTGACAATCCAAATGGTCCCACAAATTCTTAATTGGATTGAGGTCGGGACTTTGAGCAACCCAATCCAAAACTTGAATCACATGTGATTCGAGCTACCAAGCTGTATATTGAGCGGTGTGACAACTGGTACTGTCTTGTTAAAATATGGTGCCTGGACTATTATGAACCCAAGGTATAAAGTTGGTAGCTAAAATGTTTACGTAAGCCTCTGAATTCATTGTTTGATCCACGAGTACTAAGGGGCCAACACCATTTCACGAGAAACAGCCCCAAAATATAACTGATCCCCTGTCAAATTTTACAGTAAGCTTAATGCAGTCTATATTGTATTCTTTCTCAACCCTGCGCCAAACTTGTACTTGTCCGTCAGACTTGAATAAGACGAATTATGATTTGTCAGACCATACAATTTGTTTCCATTCCTCGTCCCAGTCACATTTGGTTCTGCACCAATTAAATAGAGTTAAATGTTGTTTATTTGAAAAAAAAGGCTTTTTTCATGCTATGCAACTCCCTAGTCCCATTTTGTGTAAGTAGTTTTGAATAGTATTTGCATGAAATGTTGAGGTGAGGTGGGTGTTTATATCATTTGAAATGTTGCCTAGGGGCATGAAATGATCTTTTTGAACATAACGTCATACTATCCACTGATAATAATCAAAAAAAGATTTTGATTATCCAGGATATATATTAGAATGAAGGGAACCATTTTTTTATAGCAATTTATTGTATTATAAATGGTTGAGAAAGATATATCAAGTTAAAAGAAAATAATTTTACCTTTAGTACCTGAAAAATGTGCACCGATTATTTGTTTATATTGTTGAAGGCTTAACTTGAAACTCTGTATTTTTAGTATGACAGAAAACTGTGAAATGAAGAGAGTAACATGAAAAAAATTTTTTGGATACATAACAAAAATTAAGAAGAAAAAATGATTTAAAAAAATTTCTTTTATCACAATCAACCAATCATGATAATCCATTCCCATAATTTACCATAGGGGTGTGTAATATATTTAAATACTAATATTTTCAAATCTAAGTATTTTTTATAATATAATTAATCTAATCTATAAAATTTTTTTGAGTATAACAAATTACTTAAATATTAATTATATTATTTTTATAATTATTATCAAA